TATAGCAGAGTGATATATCAGAAGTTATTGAGAATTTATTATAATAATTCTCATACAGAGTACTTCAGATTAGAGAAGACTGAGAAGCTTCTAAAATATAAATATATTTAAAACAAGCTCTGAGTAAATATTAAAGAGTATATTAAGTCTTATAATATCTATCAAAGAATAAAGATCTCACAGTATAAGTAATACAGTGAGTTGATATCACTATCTATTTCAAAGAGCTTATGACAGAATCTATTAATAAATTTCATAGTTAATCTATTAAAGTTAACAAGAGTCAAAGAATATGACTTAATTTTAATCATTATTAACTGCTTTATAAAGATAACTAAATATATCTCTATTTATAAAAAGATTAAAGTCTCTGAATTAACTGATCTGTTTTTAGATATTATTATTTATAATCATAGTACTCTGAAATTGTTGATAATAGATTGAGAATTTCTCTTTATCAGTAAATACTAGTCAGTCTTTTACTATTATCTTATAATAAGATGTCTTCTCAGTACTATATTTTATCTGCAGACAGATGATCAGACTGAATATTAAAATTAGATATTGAAATAACATCTTTAAGTATTCTATTTATATTATCAGAATGATTGACTTAAATATCTTTTAATCACTGAATTTGTATATAACAATGTAAAGAATGCAATTTTAAAGATATCTTCTTTCTATACTTATTATAAATATAATTCTTCATTACTCAGTAATATTATAAATAACATTTTAAAAAAGAGAATAGACAGTCAGAATTAGACTGACCGTGTGACCGTGTCTGAGACCAGGACCAGATTTTTTGATAGTCTCATTATCAATTCAACTGATCCCATTACACAGTTTTAACATTAGATAGTAGTTTCATACTGTTTCAGTGAGACTTACTGTCTACTCTTGTCATATTTTTCAAATAAGATCATGATTTCCACTTCTCAATTTAAATTATTTTTATTGCTTTAAATGACTTTAAATCTCATTTAAGCATTACCAAAAGGCGTTACTTTTTAAAAAATTAAAAATAGTCTAAAAAAAACCTTAAAATGTCTAAAAATAGTAACTTTATGCCAAGAATGAGACTAAATGGAATCAAATGAGATCACTTTCTCATTTTTTTTCAAGTTATGGTTTCATTTTAAGATCTGATATATAGTCACTTTACATGTTTTTTTGATAGCCAGTCTCAGCGGGATTCACGCCAAGAAATGTATGAGATCAGATCAAATGAGACCAAACGTGAAATTCATAGTCTCAGCGGCCAGTCTAGTCAGAATGTTAAACAGATAGAGAGAACAGAGTATCTCTTAGTATCAGAAGTAAAAGTAAGATTAAAACTTTTAAATAAAATTTATAAGAAGACAGTGAAAAGTATTCACTATACTCAGAAGCAGTAGATAAAATACTATAATTAAAAACATCTTTCAATGAAGTTCTCAATAGAGAATTAAGTACTATTTTTAGAAAAGAATATCAAGACAATAAGACTGTGTAAAAAGCTCAGTGAGTAGTAACTAGAATCTTTCTCAGTAATAAGAGTGATGAATAAGTAGATATATAAGTTAAAATTACTCTCAGAATTGAAATCAATTCATTCTATTTTTCACATTTTCTATTTAAAGCTCTATAAGCAATGTCTCAGAGCAGAGCTGTCTTAACTGAATAATATCAAGATTAAGAGTGATACTGAATATCTTATGAAGAAAATATTGAATAAGTGAATATATTATAAGAAGCTTTAATATCTTATTAAATAAGAAGATTATTCATTATCAGAGAATTCATGAAAATCACTTAAGTATTTGAAAAATGCTGAGAAAGAGATTGTAAGCTATGAAATAGCTAGTAGAAACTGCTCTATTATATATCAGAGATATTGAATAAGAAATACTGTTTAAGACTTTCATTTTTCTTAAAGAATTTTTTAGAGATAATCTGATAATGATAAGCTGATATCTTATAAACTCTGTAGCACTCTTCTTCTATTTTCTCTCAAAGAGTTTTTAGAAGTTTAATAAGACTACACAAGTATAAAATTTCTGAAGCAGTTAATAAGAAAAGAAAGAAATACTTGAAATTAACAAAAATTAATATTATTAACTTATAAACTGCTACTATTCTAATAGAGCTGCAGTCTGCTGAAAAAGTAAAAAGAAGAACTAGAGTCTACTTATTAATAATTACATCTTCATTAAACTCATTCTTCATTATTAAAGTCTTCAGTATTAATATCTTTATCTGCTGAGAAGTTAGCACTGCAGTGCTGCAGAAGAGTATGAGAGATATATAAAGTTATTAACTTATTAATTTATAAAGCATCTTAATTATCTGCTTTAATTGAAGTAAGATTCTCTTCAATCAGTGATTTATCTTTATAGTACTTTTAATAGTAGTACTGACTGATCTCTTCTTGAGATCAGTTATTCTGAGATGTTTTTTTATCTCAGAGATTCATACTTTCATCTTCTTTTACAGATGAGTAAGAGAGATCTTCTTAGTCTTAATAGAATCTATCAATACTTAAAGCTCTGAGACTCTCACTCTGTACTACTTAAGTATCTGAGCTTCTTATCAGAACTGATTAGACTGACCGTATGACCGTGTCTGAGACCAGAATCAAACTTTACAGTTGTCACATTGTCTAAAAGTATTACTTCTGATCATGATTTGTGTTCATCACATTGATCTCAAATCATGTTATTTCAAATATTAAAGATCTCAGATTCACTTTTCAAATAAAAATCTAGTCTCAGATAAAGAATATATTTGAATTCTTAGTTACATTTTTCTTCTAATCTCATTATTGAGAATGATATTAAATGAAATCATGAAATCATTTCTTACTTACATGATATTATAACATAGTACTCATTTGTTAAAAATTCAATAGAGAGTGTTATTAAATATTATTACTTTTCTGAACATAGATTATAATTTATATAATTTTAATTATGAAAAAAATATAAAATACAAAAAAAAATAAAAAATAAAAAATAAAACAAACATAAGAAAAAATCATAATAAAAAAAAAATAAAAGAAAAATAAAAAAATAAAAAATAAAAATAAAAAAAATCAAGATTGCAGAGTCATAGTATCTTTAAAATACTTATTTCTCAGAGTCTTTACAATGTTTATTATTAACTGTGTATCTCTCATAGTGAGAGTAATATGACTGTAATAAGTCATTATCTTAATATTATCTAATAAATAATCAGTATATATCTGTATAAATGTGAATAATTAGAAAATATACACTTAAAAAGTATGATCAGAGTGAACTCTGCTGTCACTTGAATAACATTAAGAATAGAATACTGAAATTAATGATTCTTCTCATTGATTTCACAGACAAGATGTGTGAAGATAATCTTAAAAAATATAAAATTCTCTGACTTCTGATAAAAACAGATCTCACAGAGAGACTCTATTTTCATAATATCAGAGACTGAGTATTATTAAAAAGTGTTACTTTTATACAATGTATATACACTTACTGCAGCAATTTACTCTCTACACATATGACTAAGAGTTACAGCTTTTTCACACTGCATAACTCTTTCTGAGATGCTGCTGTTAATTTGCAACTCATGCAGTCTCTCAGTTCAGCACACACTGTGTATATACAGCTCTGTGTGCTGAGACTGTGTTAGTTATTATAGTCTGATATGATACTTGCTTTTCATAAGCTATGTTTTGTTTGAGAGAGGGAAGAAAGATGTGACTGTTATTTTATTAAGAAGAGAATGAATAATTAGTATTATTGAATATAATTTGATTTATCTGTATTTAAAATTTGATTAGTCTATACTCTTTAATTTAAGAGTTTCTATAAGTGTTTTAATAGTTTTCATACCAGCTTGAACTTAGTGATGAGTTGAAGAAGAAGAGAAAAGAGAGAAGAAAGAAATGAGAATAACTTATCTTTATAATATGAAAACAGAGAATCACTGTAATCATTCTTTCTAGTAATCAAGATCTGTTTTCTGCATGTATCTCTGATATAGATTATATGATAAATGTATATAAAGAATATCAATAGTGCATGTATTGAATGAAGATAATATTGCTATACAATACTGTAGCTGTTTCTGTACATCTCTGAAAGCTGTTAATAGTTTCTTTATCTCTTTATATTTAATAACTCAATAATATATTCTGATGCACTTCTCATTTCATCATTATTATCATCACTATTATTATCATCATTATTATTATCATCATCATCATTATTATTATCATCATCATTATCATTATTATTATTATTATTATCATTACTATCATTATCATTATTATATCATTGTCTGTCTTCATCTCTCTTTCAACACTTATTAAAATCAATCATGTTATTTCTCTTCAAATATTCTGCGGTTCTGTGAACCACTAAGGCGTGTGAGCGCTGTCACAGATTGAAGAGAGAGGAGAAGAAGATGTTCAAGAATCAGAAGACAGATTATAAGATACATTATGATGCCTTGAAGAGGCTCTGTAAGAGAGCAGAATGATAATAATTTTAAGTAATACTTGTAACGTGGCGGAACCGAAGCGGTGGCTAGTCAGCGGCGTCACGTAGGGGTAGTTGTTTTGGGAAGCCGTATGAGTGGGCTTGACTATCTTGCTTGAATAGCGAGCTCGTAGGCTACAGGGTTATTGCGAGGATATCACAGATATGATACTTAGTATACTAAGAAGATTGTATGAGGCATGCAGTAACTCTTGTGTATATTTCAGTAGGAGCAAAACGAATCGCTGGCTTCTTTGATGAGGAGCCAGCATCTAGCTATTCTATATAGACAATGAGCGGATACCCTCCTCCCATTCCACGAGTGAGGATAGCCGGAGCGATACCTCAGCGGCGCCTCATTGCCAAGGAAGAGTAATCTGCTGACCTCATATAGAAGCGGGGTTCTTATATCCATCAATCGGATCTTCCTATGATATATCCGAATGATGTCATAGGGTGGTTGGAAACCGGTTCGGACGGGATGAAATCATCCGCATGGAAGCGATGGGCCGTGTGGAACCGCAGCGGGGCCTTGGCGCGGCCGGGTGCGTGACAATACTTCTGATAGATTTAGACTGAACTAAGTATAGAAATAATGCAGATGACACCATCTGTGAGAGATTGAAAAAGAAGACAGTGAAGAGCCTTATACAGCAGTGATAAGATCAGAAGAAGTTCTGAGAATGATTTAAGATCAAGATAAAGAGAGAGACAGAGAAGAAGAGTATTACTGTAAATAAGCAGTGACAGAAGAAGATTAAGAAGGTATTAAAGTAGAAGACAAAGAAGTCAAAACTGATAAGTTTTTTATTAATAGATAACAATTTTTGATAATACTTCTGTTCTCTAATTAATTAGCAGGAGCTGGCAGAGAAGAGAATTGAGACCTTGTTCAGATCTCAAATGCACTTCATAATTCAGAATATTGAGAAGACAGTTCTACTCTCTGAGCATGTCAATCTGCTTATCACTGAGATGGAACCTGAGACAGCAGACCAGAAAATGCAGGATTTTGAGGCACAGATTGACCTGGCTGAGAGAGAGCAGTGAAAACCCTTCTCTAAGAAGACAGTAGAGAGAGATTTTGAGATGATTATCATCTCAGATGAGAAGAAGAAGAAGAAAAATAAGAATAAGAAGTGAATTATAAAGAATGATAAGAAGAATGAGAAAGAGAAGAAAGATAATAAGTAGAAAAAGTTTTTTTCTTTTTATATTAATTAGTTATAAGTTTGTAACTATTAGTTAATAATTGAAATTAATTTTGAGTTTTCAAAAATTATTGTATAAGTTGTAATCAATTATCAATATCAGGAATAATATATATATATATATTCAACTATCATGTCACTATAATGTATAAGTATCAATATTTTTTCAACATTGATATTTATAATATTAATATATTTTTAATAATATTATCTGATAATGTAATTTGATAATACTCTCTTTCATAATATTAATATATTTTAAGAAATATGACAGAGATTAATCAAGATTGTTTATTTACTTTTATATATTAATGATATTCAATCTGAGTTAGTACTAAAATTATAACTAAGTTAAGAAAGAAGATTATTTTCTCTTATATTAATTCTTCTTACACACATCAGTGATTAGTTATTAAAAATAAATTATTATCTTTCTTAAATTATTATTATATCTTCTGAATTCACTTCTTTCACTTCTTTTACTTCTATTGAAGATTCACAAACTTTTCAAGAAATCACTATGAATTATAAAGTCTATGTTATTTACAATTCAACACAGAATGCTCTCTTTTAATTATAATGAATAATCACTTCATTCTTCACATCTGATTTTAGATTATAAAATTTATGAAAAACTCAATATAAATACTGAGATAAACTATGAAATAATTATTAACAGATTATATTACAGATTACTGAAGAGTTATCTCTCTGCTATAATCACTATAACTTTATTCAGAAATATTCATCATAAACTGATCATGACTCTGAAGAAATTTTCTGACATCTGAAGTCATCAGAATGCAGATAATAAAAGAAAAATAATTAGAAAATTACTACTAAGCTGATAAGTTACTCTATCAGATAATGATTTTTAATAATACTAACTTTCTAATTTAAAGAAAATCATATGAAAATAATTATATATCAGTACTCTGATTTCATAACTCTCATCTGATAACTTCTGTGAATAATTACTTTGTATATATATATCTCTGAATCTTTCTCTTCAATTAATTGAAAATCTCAAATTCTGAACACTTCTTTAAATACTTAATTCAAATCTTCATATTTCACATTAATTCTGTCTTCAGTTCAATCTTGAGATACACTATAAAGTCAATATACAATATCTAGAATCAGAGTTGAAGAATCATTGAAGAGTGTCTCTCAGAGTGAATATATAAACTAGTACAAACAATCTTACATTTATAAGAGTTATATATTATTACATTGATGAGAACTGAACTTATTAAGAGACATTAATTGAATTTGAATCATTGATCAGTAGTCATACTGAAGATTATATAGCAGAGATATTAATAACTGTGATTAAAAATAACTATTGAGATATTAGTCTCAGTCTTCTTACAATTACAACTGATAATGCTGTAAATAACTATACTATAATGAACAGCTTGAAGTAAAAATTGACTTTGTATTTCTGAAATGATAAATAAGGTCATATTCTCTGCATTACTTATATGATTCAACTTGTGATATAAACACTGATAAAGAATCTTAATATCAAGATAAAGAATAATGAGATGACTGATTCTTGAGATAAGAATAAGATGAAAGTGATTACTCAAGTAACTTTTGTATTCACTTTATAAAAGATAATGTTTTTTAATAATACTTTTTAATATTACTTTTTAATAATGCTTTTTAATAACACTACTGTTAATTTTGAATAGATTAACTAATAATTTAAATATCACAGATTTGAAACATTGTTAATACAATTTGTATCTTCTCTAAATAATAACAATAATTTCATAATATTTAATAAATAAATAAATCAGTTACATCACTGAATATGATACAGAATATTAGAACACAGTGAAGTTTAATATATAAGATAACTATTCAGACTCTTCAATTGTGTCAGATAATTAATCATTGAGTGTAATACTCTAATCAGAAAAAGATTCAGATATTAAAACTTTCTGATATAAAGTAAACTCAGTTGAAATATGTAATTGATTTACTGTTTCAGTTTTATAAGATAATAAAGACAGTCTTAATCACTTATACATCAATGCTGCAGTCAGTCTGATGAGTGTATAACAGTTTATTTACTTATCTTGAGAAGCAGTTGAATCACTTAAAAAGAAATTCAGTCTGAAATAATGCTATAGTACAGGCTATTATTACTGTAAGAGATAAACTGACATATTACTACAGTAAAATTGAACAATCTTTTGCAGAGTACTATGCTGTAGCAGCTCTACTAGATTTCTCTTATCAAGTTAATATCTACACTTCTCATGATTGAACAGAGAAGAAATGAGACTTATATATCAAATTAGTCTGAGACTACTACAATGTCAACTATCAGAGATTTGAATAATGTGATTCAAAGATTGCTTAAGCCAGTGTACGATTACAGGCGTACGCCGGCTTCTTATATATTGTAATATTGTACACTAAATTAATTAGCGGCCGCTATGGCCTCTTTACACTTGTACATGTATACTAGTAGTTCGGAAGCAGCCGCGTTATTATCTGACAGTCATACATTCTTCTGAATCACATCCTTCTTCACCAGATTCAGTCACACTCATATGATCATATTGTACACCCTAGCTTCATGCAGATTAGCTTGTTACTAGTGTTTCATAATTATGTAATCTATCTCTGATTCAGCTAGTATTCTGTATACACTCTCACAAAGAAACTTTCACTATATTACATCACTCATTCACTAACTTTTCTCATTCTTCAATTATCTTCTTCATTATCATCATCATTGAACATCATCATCAATCAAGATTTCTACTTCTTCTTCTATTCAACTCTTTCTATCTGTTCATCTATTACATTGTATGTGTTTCTGTAATGTGACAGAACCGAAGCGGTGGCTAGTCGGCGGCGTCACGTAGGAGTAGTTGTTTGGAAAGCTGTATGAATGAGCTTGACTATCTTGCTTGAATAGTGAGCTTGTAGGCTACAAGGTTATTGCAAGGATATCACAGATATGGTACTTAGTATACTAAGAAGATTGTATAAGGCATGCAGTAACTCTTATATATATTCTAGTAGAAGGAAAATGAATTGCTGACTTCTTTGATGAGGAGCCAGCATTTAGCTATTCTATATAGACAATGAGTGAATACCCTTCTCTCATTCCATGAGCAAGAATAGTCAGAGTGATACCTCAGCAGCATCTCATTGCCAAGGAAGAGTAATCTGCTGACCTTATATAGAAGTGAGGTTCTTATATTCATTAATTAAATCTTTCTATGATACATCCGCATGATGTCATAGAGTGATTGAAAACTGGTTTGAACAGCCTGCGGAATGAATGGAATCATCTGCATGAAAGTGATAAGCTGTGTGAAACTGCAACAGAGTCTTGACACAGCTGAGAGTGTGACAATACTCTTCTCTTTAAGAGTATAGTCTCTATGCTCTCAAGATTACTGAATTAGAAATTATCTTTGTTGTATAGCAATGATTGTCAACTGATTGACAGTGTATGTACTGTGTGTGATATAAAGAAATAGATGAGTTTTTCTACTAACTGCATAGATCTTCCTTTTCTCATCTTTATTCAAATCAAATGTGTGATAAGTGAGTTTCTTATATATTGATTTAAAAGATGAAAAATGTAATTAATAAGTGACTTACAGATCTTTTAACATATTCTGTTCTATGTATGAAATTCTCTGCAAAAGTGGTGTATTTTAGAGACAAAGCTAACAGTAGTGACAGGATTTTTTTGAAAAGATCTCCCTTCTCTATGACACTTTTTTCTCTTTCTCCCCTTATCTGCAATAGTGAGTGCATAGGAGTATCATTCTTGAAGAACAGTAGAGAGCTTATTCTGACATTTTCTAGTGAGTAAATATCTTCATAGTGCAGCGGCAGCCTTCATGGCCATCAAGAAAGCCAGATTGAAGACAGTGACATCAATGAGCTACAGAAGCATCACTTTCATTGTCACATCTCCTCCTGCTTCTTTTGCAGCTGCAGCAGTTCTGCTGGTTGATGTGTCTGTGTTCAGTTCATCCTCTATCCTCTCTGCCGCTGTTGTGACTCTGCCCGCTCCCTCAGTCAATACAGTGGCATATGATTCTGTGTGGTCATTTGAAGAGGAATCTGAAGAGAGCTTGATTCTGGGAACAGTGACTCTGAGAAGCTTAATCTGTAGTTCCTCTCCTGCAGCCTGTCTGAGCCCTGCTCAGAATACTGCTGAGTTGAGTCTGCAGAATTCTGCAGTTCCTTTGTCTTCTCTCTGTGAGAAGGCTTCAGTGTGATCTCTAGTCAGCACTGCTACTTATCTGCACTGCATCAAGCAGCTGAAGAAAGAGAGAATTTTATGTACCTGCTTCTTCTCTTACTTCTGTTATTTTCATTGTGTCTGTAACAATGTCTTCTATCTCTCTATAAGTATTATCTCATAGAAAGATGTTGTATCAGCTCTGATAAGAAGTCTAGATACTTAAGCAGTATAGAGTGAGAGTCTTGAAGCTTCAAGTGTTAATAAATTCTGTCAAGACTGAGAAGATCTCTCTTACTCATCTGTAAAAGAAGACAAAAGTATGAATCTCTGAGATAAAAAAACATCTCAGAATAACTGATCTCAAGAAGAAATTAGCTGATGCTGTCATTGAAAGTATTATAAAGATTAATCACTGATTAAAGAGAATCTCACTTCAGTTAAAGCAGATAACTGAGATACTTTATAAGTTAATAAGTTAATACTTTCAGCATCTCTTATACTCTTCTACAGCATGCTTCTCTGCAGTGCTGCAGTACTAACTTCTCAGCAGATAAAGATGCTAATACTGAAGACTTCAACAGTGAAGAATAAGTTTGATGAGAGTGTGATTATTGATGAGTAGACTCTGATTCTTCTTTTTACTTTTTCAGTGAGCTGCAGCTCTATTAGAATAGCAGCAGTCTATAGATTGATAATATTAATCATTTTATTAGTTTTCAATATCTCTTTTCTCTAACTGCTTCAGGAATTTTACACTTGTATAATCTCATTAAACTTCTAAAAACCCTTTAAGAGAAAATAGAAGAAGAGTGCTACAGAGTCTACAAGATACTGACTCATCATTATAAGATTATCTCTAAAAAAACTCTTTAAGAAAAATGAGAAGTCTTAAGTGATATTTCTTGTTCAATATCTCTGACATGTAACAGAGTAATCTCTACTAGTCATCTTATAGATTGCAATCTCTTTCTCAGTATTTTTCAAATACTCAAGCAGTTCTTATGAATTCTCTGATAATGAATAATCTTCTCATTTAATGAGATATTGAAGCTTGCTGTAATATGTTCACTTATTTAATATTTTCTTCACAAAATATTCAGTATCATTCTTGATCTTGATATTATTCAGCTGAGATGACTCTGCTCTGAGATATTGTTTATAGAGCTTTAAATAGAAAATGTGAAAAACAGAATGAATTGATTTCAATTCTGTGAGTAATTTCAACTTATATGCCTGCTTACTCATCACTCTTGTTACTGAGAAAGGTTCTAGTCACTGCTCACTGAGCTTCTTACATAGTCTTATTATCTTAATATTCTTTACTGAAAGTAGTACTTAATTCTCTATTAAGAACTTCATTGAAAGATGTTTTTAATTATAGTATTTCATCTGCTGCTTCTGAGCATAATAAATACTTTTCACTGTCTTCTCATGAATTTTATTCAAAAGTTTCAATCTCACTTTTACTTCTAATACTGAGAGATACTCTGTTCTCTGTATCTATCTGATATTCTGACTGTCTATTTCTCTCTTTGAAATATCATCTGTGATGTCACTGAATAATGAAGAATTATATTCATAATAAGTATAGAAAGAAGATATCTTTAAGATTACATTCTTTACATTATTATATGTGAATTCAGTGATCAGAAGGTGTTTGAGTCAATTATTCTGATAATATAAATAGAATGCTTAAAGATGCTGTTCTAGTATCTGATTCTGATATTCAGTCTGATCATCAGTCTGCAGATGAAAAGTGATACTGAGAAGATATCTTATTATAAGATAATAGTAAAAAGCTGATCAGTACTTGCTGATGAAGAGAGATTCTTAATCTGTTATCAATGATTTTGAAGCATTATAATTATGAATGATGATATCTAAAAACAGATCAGTCAATTCAGAGGCTTTAATCTTTTTATAAGTAGAGATATATCTGACTATCTTTATAAAGCAGTTAACAATGATTAAAATTGAGTTATATTCTTTAACTCTTGTTAACTTCAGTAGATTAACTATGAAATTCATTGATAGATTCTGTTATAAGCTCTTTGAAACAGACAGTAATACTAACTTACTGTATTACTTATACTATAAGATCTTTATTCTTTAACAGATATTGTAAGTCTTAATATACTCTTTAATATCTGTCTGAAGCTTGTCTTAAGTGTATTTATATTTTAGAAGCTTCTCAGTCTTCTCTAATCTGAAGTGCCTCATATGAGAATTATTATAATGAATTCTCAATAACTCCTGATACATCAATCTACTACAAGGGATAAAGACTGAATCATTCAGCAGTAGAAGTTCATATTCTTCTAGTTATCAGTAACTTGATTTCTTAGCAGCACTGCCCTGCTCAGGGCCTGTCTCTTTCAAGTTCAAACTGAACTCTTTCTTCTTCAACTTCTGAATTCAAGCTGCAGTAGAGATGTTTCTCTTCTATAACTCATCAATGAATTTCAAAAGTAGTCAGATTAAAAGATTGTAGACTGTTTTATTCTTTATCAATTCAATGATTACAAGATATGACATGAGAAGCTCATGATCTTCAGTGTCAGTTCTCTGCAGAGACTTAGATTCTCTTTCATCTTCTATACTAAGTTGCACAGCTGTCTCTTCAGTGCTGTTTCTAAGCTTTAGAGAACTTCAATTCTCTGCAGTCAGCTTCTTCTGCAGTGATGACAGAGATTCTTTTATAAAATTCTCCTCTGCATCAATGATATTATAATCAGACTGTCTAGACAGCATGTCAGTGAGATTAAGCTGACCTGAACAGTATCAGATATAGAAATCATACTTTAAAAGCAGCTTCACTTATCTGGCTTGATGTTCTGTCAAGCTCTTTGTTATCAAGAAGTAATACAGATTTGTATGATCAGTGAGAACTTACACTGAATACTTACTACTCTGAAGATAATGTCATCAGATCTTAAAGAATTTGACAATTACTAATATCTTCTAATCATGAGTATCATACCTTCTCTGTGTGAGTGATAACTTCTTAAAGAAGAAGATTACTGATCTTCATTTACAGTGTCTTATAAACTCTGTGAAAAAGTCTTCTCTCACAGACAATTCATTGTCTGTTTTCTCAGAGATGATTATTCTCTGATTCTTTCAATATTGAAAGATCTTCAGTGTCAACTGTGAAAAGATTCCACAGATCTCATTTCTGAATGTGTCAGTCTCACACTGACTGAATAAGTTGAGATTAAAGTGATTCAGTATTGTGACATCTGTGAAAGCTTGTTTCAATTCTGCAAATATCTGCATGATGCCTTGAGTGAGAATAAACAGTCTCATTTTTCTGTCTTTCACACTTCTCTTCAACAGATCTGTAAGAGAGGCAGTAATTTGTGAATATGCATAGATGAATTATCTATAGAAATTTACAAATTCTAGAAACATCTGCATCTCACAGTACATCTACAGCATCAGCCAGTTCTCAATGATGAAGACCTAGCTCCTGTTCATTGAAATGTCATTCATCTCAATAATATAATCTAAGAAATCAATCTTCTGTATATAGAATGAGTATTTTTCAGTATTTGTATAGAGTTGATACTGTCTCAAGTGACTCAACACTTCTTGAACATGAGTATTGTGTTCTTCCTTTGTTTTTGAGAAGATTAGAATGTTATTCAGGTATACTATACAGAAGATGTTAACAAGGCCTCACAGTGCCTCATTTATATAGGTCTGAAAGATGACTGAAGTGTTACAGAGATTAAAAGATAAAACAAGATATTCAAAATTGCTGTACTTGATATAAAAGATTATTTTTCAAATGTCATCTTCATTAACTCTGATTCTATGATAGATATTCTGTATATCAATCTTTGAGAACATCTTTGCTTTAGATAATTGATTAATTATCTTATTAATTAATAGTAGTGAATAGTGATTCTTAACTGTCATCTTATTAAGGCCTCTGTAGTCTATGCATAGACATAGTCTATCATTCTTCTTGAGTATAAAGAGTATAGATGTCTCTGTCAGACTCTTTAATAAATATATTCAGTTCTTTGATTGCACTTCTTCAAGATATTTACACAGAACATTCAACTTCTTTACAGACAAGTTATAAAGAGACCTGTATAGTACTGTTACACTGTCTTCAAGATGAATCTTATATTATATCTTAATGTCAGGAAACTTCACTACTTTTCTTTCTGAAAAGATATTTTTAAAATCTGTAAAGAGATGTTGTGTACATCTATCTTCAATAATAAATACTACTGCTAATTTTATAGTGAGAGTGATGACTTCTTCATCTGTTCTCAAGTCTTAATCATCTGCTATACAGTATATTGACTCAATCTTTTTCTCAAGATTCTTCTGATGAAACTCTTCAGATTTCTCTATTACTGTCTCTTTATCAGTAAGACAGTACTGTCATATCTGAGTAACTCAGTCAATGAGAGAATTGTTTTCTCTTAATTATGAAAGACCTAGAATGACATTCTCATCTATGATATTGACTGTGTGAAGAAGCAGACTACTCTTCTTGAAGATTTCTTCTGAGTCTGTGATCACACACTTTGCTTGAATTATGCTAAAATGATAGTATTTTGTTTCATCTGTAAATTTCACATGATCTGATAAATCTATCTTCTTTCAATTCTTCATCAAAGAAAAGAAATAGAATATGAAGTTAGTATTCACTCTGAAGTCAAGTAGATATCTCACTGATATCTTCTCATTTGAAGTATGTATTGTAATTGTAACATAAACTCAGAGATATGAGAATTGTTAATTCTTGTCTTTCTCTTCTTTATCTTTCATGAATATGTTTATCAGAAGAGAAGTTAACTTTGAGAAGATATCTTCTCAGTTTCTTCTCTTCTTCAGCTTCTTACAATCACTGATATAGTGATTATCAGCTCTGCAGTTGAAATAGAGATCTTTATCAAATCTTTTTTAATATTTCTTTACAGTGAGTGAAGAATCAGAACACTTGAAATTCTTCTTTACTTTCTTCACACTGAAGCTGTCATAGTGCTGTTTAGATTCTGTCATTGATTGCTTAGA